TAGGGTGGTTGCCTCAATCTAGGCAGAGCACAACCCCCTTAGCAGCTCAGCCTCATTGAACCTGGCTGTAGAGCGCACGGTTTCTTCGTCCACCACCCCCAAAAGAAGATCTGTCGCTGTCCTGGCTGGGCTTTCTTCTCCCTCCAGTCGCCCAGAAACTGCTGGAGCATGTTAGATGGCATACTTTGGCCTCACCCCCCCTCCTTGGGGCGCAGGCCCCCCCTGGTTCCTCTCTCCTTATCTCAGGGCCAGTTGCCCCACCTTTTACTTGAATTCCGGGGGCGATCTCTGCGACCTCCAAGGCGATCTCCACCACTACTGGGATGACCTCCGAGACAACCTCCACCATTTCTGGGGCAACCATTCTTCCTGGGGTCTGCCCCACTCCCTCCTCCTCTGCCTCCTTGTCCATGGGGGTCTCTTCTACTGTCACCTCCCTCCTTCTCTTCAAGGCAGGCTCCTCCTCACCTTTCTCTTCTTCTTTCCCACACCCTCCATCTCCTTGTTGGCCCTCTACTTCAAAGGATCAATTGGGGGCGGTCGTGGCTCAGATTCACCCAAGTCTTTTTCCCCCAGCGATTTGGGGCGCGGTCGGATTCTGTCCCTCGAGATCGACTTCGGCGGCCGGTCTGCCTGCGACTCCTTGAATTTGCTGGCCTTGGCGAGAATGGACCTATCCTCCACCTCTTGCGCCTTCCTTCTCGCCTCTAATTCCGCCGGTTCCAGGTCCCCACCGGTCGGCTGAGGGCCCAACCCCGCAGCAAACAAGGCCGAAGGTTGAATGAGTTCGTCCCACCTGACTCCCCTCTTCTCCCTTCATGCCTTCACCTTCTTTACTCTCTCCTCTCCTGCTGCCCCCAGTTTTGGCTCCACAGATTTGGTGGGTACTTTCCACACCGTACGCACCCCAACCCTCCCATTCGCGGAAACGTAGAACCACAGCGGCCTCCACCCCTTAATTGATGACGGCAGACCCATCGCCAGACCCCTCCCTGCCGCCGCCTACAACGTCACCCAAGTCTCTTGCTGTCCTGAGCCCTTATAACACGCGAAAAACTTGTCCACCGTCATAGCTGCCCCTTCGTTCGCCTTCGGCCACGCACTTGCACAGGCTAATACAATCTTTCACGCGTTAGGCATTAGTTGGCCTGGCGCTACCTCCAACCGGTTTAGGACATCTACCACCACTTGCGGAAGCGGCAACCTCAGTCCTCCCTTCAATGCCTCCTCGTAAAGGGCAAACTCCCCCGCCCGGGCGTCGGACGGCCTCTCCATTGACGTCGGCAACAGTAGCTCTATTTCGGCGGGAACCTGGTACTTTTCACGCATACCCTCTAATTCCATCGCAGTCACCGTTGATTTGTTAGCCTTCGTATGCCAGTGATCTGGTTCCGCCTAGCTGATTGGCTTCGGAGCCGCCATCATGGTGGAAGAATGAGATCGTACCGCTGGTTCCCCCATCCTCTCCACTTGCCTCTTCGTTCTGTACTGCTCCGCCAACTCTACCGCGTCGTCATCCCCAAGTGGATCAACCCTGGCGGTTCTAGCTTCTTCTTAGGCCATTTCTATGGTGTGTCTATGAATCGTTTCGGATGCAGGCGCAAGGAAATTCAAAAAATGTCGCAAGGGTGTATCACTCGCAACGAAGGAGTCTACACTTAGAATGTTTTGACTTTTGAAAAAAGGTAGGTAAAACGTATAATACCAAAAGCCCAAGGTTTCCCTATATTCCAAGGGTCGTAATTAATTTTCGCCAGTTTGAAAAATTTTCGACCTTCCGCCAAAACTGTCTTTTCAACACCTATTATGACCTATCGTTTCACTTCTGGCCCAACGCCTAACCTCCCCCACCAGGAGATACTGCCACGTGTACGACCACAATTCACTACTTCCTTCCCCTACCCTGTTTTTCCCACTTCAAGTCATCGCATGACCCACCGCCTCTCGAGCCCCGCACCCCGCCACCTCACCCTTCGCAGTCAGCCCTCTTCACGATCGACTCCTCCATTCGGCTACCCTTCGCGGTCAGCCATCCTCACGATCGGCTCCTCCACTCGGCTACCCTTCGTGGTCGACCATCCTTACGATCGGCTCCTTCATTCGGCTACCTTTCACGATCGGCCCTCCTCACGGTCGGTCCTTCCACTCGACTACCTTTCGTGGTCGGCCCTCTTCAAGGTCGGTCTCTCCACTTGGTTACCCTTCGCAGTCGGCCCTCCTCACGGCCGGTCCCTCTACTCGGCCACCTCCGATCGGTCGTTCCTTTCACTCGACATTTAATCCCCATCTTCCTCATTATTCCCTTCGTTGGACTAAAGCTGCACTTGGAAATAGGGGACTACTGACGTGGATAGGCCCATAAAGGCCATAACCCACTATGAACAACCCAAGCCTACCACTTAGGGCCCAACACATAACCCAACTGATAAGGCCCGGCACAGTTAGAAGTCAATATGACATGAAGGACCAGTGATATTCAGACACGTGGCAGGTAAAGGGCAAGCCACATCAGCAGAAAAAGGATCTGCAAAGTTATTGCCACTGCACATCGCCATTAATGCAGCTCCTCACAATATTTATTACGACAACACCTCTCCGTCGGGACAATACGCCCTCACTCTGAACAAGGTAAGCTACAGTATAGACTTTTGGCCAAGGTGACAGGTCGGACGGGATAACGAAATGATTACCAAAGGATATAAGCAGACGTTGAAGACAAGAAGAAGGTTAAGCTTTCTATCTCTAATTCATATCTCTACATTCCACTTATCTCTCTCTAACTTGCTCGTCGGAGGGTTCGCTGGGGGACACCCCGTTTCCCATTGAACTCTTGTGCAGGTTCTCAGGTAGGCTTGACCACTCGAATATTTGCTCGAGAAGCGTGGATCAGTCCGACCCATTCTATCAAGATCCCGTTGTATCATAACTGTATCATCAGTATGGAAATCAAAATGATTTTTGGAGGCTAGCTAGCAGCAATGGATCATGTCTCTTTCCTTTGACTTGACGACTTTACATATTCAAGTAGGGAATCAAAAAGTGTGTAGTATGGATTTTTTTATTTTCTTCAAAAGAATAATTGTTTTTTTCTTTCATGAGGAGACAACGTTAACTGGGCATCAGTTTATAGAAGAATTGGAAACTTCTTTTTTTTATTAAAAAAAAATGAGAGTTATAAGTGATGATTTATTATTCATCTTGAATTTTTTTAGATCAAATGAGAATAATATTCTAAATTTTCTTTTTACCTTTTTTTTTAATTTTTTATTTAGATATTTTTATTTGTAGAAAAATTATTTTTATTATATTTAAATATTTTATTGTAAATTTTAAATTAAAAATAATTTTTGAAAAATCCTATTTAAATTATTTTATGCCATTATAATTTCTTTTTAATATTAACTTATTCGATGATCCCTTTCTAAAATGTGTATTTGCTTTTGTTCATTAATATTAAATTTTTAATTAATCTTACATATTATTAAAAAAACAAATTATCTTTGATGTTTTTGCTCAAGTCCACTCAAATTTATTTTGACTTTTTAAATTTCTACATATATTCTTATCGAATTAAAAATTATGTTGCCCAATTTTTGAACTTATCGAATTAAAAATTATGTTGCCCAATTTTTGAAAATTTTCATGCTTGACTTGAGTTGTTTGAGTTAAGCTTGCCTTAATTTGCAACTCTATGAGGGGGTTCAAAGTTACATGATTAAATTTGTGATAAATTAAAAATCGATACATAAATTATGATAAAATTATGAAACTTAAATTGTATATTTCAATGTTTTTTATTTTAATAATTTACATATAAAAATCTAACTATCTATATTGTTTTATATAAAAATATGGGAGTTTTCTTAAGTGTGCAAGTGCACACCATGTGCCACTTACATAAAAAGTGTAAGTGTAAGGTGTAAATATAAGTATAAGGTGTAAGTGTAAGGTGTAAGGTGTAAGTGGGTTGCACATGGTGTGCAACCTCAAAAAAGGTGTAAGTGTAAGGTTTAATTTTTTACAAAAGGTGTAAGTGTAAGGTGTAAGTGTAAGGTATAAGGTGTAAGGTGTAAGTTGCACACCATAACCAAACCCAAAAATATGTTATTAATTTTTTCTGCATCCCGTACATAACACGTCTTTACCTCTAGTAATTTCAAAATACAAAAGGGGTTGGTTTCTTTTCGATCCGTGATTAGATTAGAGGCTACTGTTAAGCCCATGGAGGCTCACCACGGGTCTCATTTTGATAATCTGAACCATTCAATATATTAAACTCTCGAGTACTATATGCCTATAAATATTACGTTAATCGGATATCGATAGCTACGTGATCAAATCAATTTTCTATAAAAACAAATGGAGAGTAAAAAAATAAAGGATTGACAGAAATCTGATCCGATGAGATAGCTATCGATATCCAATCAATCTGATTTTTTACAGGCATATAGTACTCGACGAATTCTATATATTAAACGATTCAGATTATCGAAACGAGATCCGTGATGAGTCCTCACGGGCCTAATAGTATCCTCCAGTGATCGAACTAGAGGGGAGCCCAGCCCACTACAAAATACCCAAAATGTGAACATACCAAGTAGGGAAAATCATTATTTAGTGTTACAGGAGCAAAGTAAATAAGCTGTCTAATTATTTTTTATTATTTAAAATATAATTTCTTATCACATCATTAGCATGAATTTAAGGATTGTCTTTTAAAGATTTTGAAGTTTCTTTTTTTTTTTTTTTTTTTTGAATATTGAGATTCTTCAATTTAATGCTTATTTTTTAAGAAATGACATAATCAATGTCATATAAGATGAGTAGCATCAAATAACCACTAATCAATATGAGAAGTTATTTGATGATTTTATAATACTGTTCTACACTATTCATATTCACATTTGTTTAATTGTCTAAAAAGTTAACATAAAATGATAGATCTTATCATTTAAATTAATAAAAATTAAATTAAAATACTGTAGATGTATTTGCTTCAATACCACCGCATAATTTTACATCACCAAATACAATTACATCCAACAGAACGACACTATTTCAAATACCCAACATTACATCACCAAATACAATTACGTCTACCAGAACGACACTATTTCAAATACCCAACATTACAGCCAATAGAGTGATTCAAGGTGTCGATAAGAATCCTGAAATAGCATCAAAGTTAGAATATCAATTATCTTGAATATATATATATATATATCAAATAAATAAAAAGGGATTGGAAATACCAGGGAGAAAAATAAAAATAAAAGGGATTAATATATGGTCTTACGTTGAAGAAGCAGGAGCAACATAAAGAAGCAGAGCATAATGGCAACTCTGCGATTGAAATTCTGGCGTTGCACAAAGAAGTGATCGATTATCTCAGATCCCAAGCTGCTCACAGATGGTTGCACAACGTAATTAACTATAGCTTCCCTCACAGTATCTCCAAATGGCCCCATATTAATTGATGCTGATGCTGCTGAAGTGGCTTGTGCCACCATGGGGCCTATGAGAGCTCTTATGTTTGTGTTTGGATCAGGAGGCTGAGCTGCTTCATCAATGTCGAAGTTGCCTCCTTCTCCTCCCGAGTTCTCTAAGGCCGGTGGCGGTGGAGAAGAATTGGGGTCAGATGTTGCGTTGTTGTTGTTGGAGGGCACAACACTTCCTTCATCGGAGATCTCTGCCAACGATGTGGTGTTCAAGGCGTCGGCCATCGGAGCTGTTGGAGCCTTTCTTGGTATGTATATATATATAAGAACTTGCTATATATATATATATATAAGAACCAGAAATGATAGGAACCGCCTTTTCCCTCAATTTCCACAGTCCGTATATGTAATAGTGACAGGAGGAAAGGAAATAAATTTCGCAATCCACACAGGACAAGAGAAAAACAAAAAAGGGGTGATATGATATGATAAGAGGGGATGAGGGAATAGGAACCAAAAAAAACTTACATGTCACAATCCACGCAGGAGAAAAGAGAAACGAAAAATAAAAAGCAGTTGATTCAATTTCAAGTCCAATTTTTAGGGAAGGGACATTGCTGTGCCTAAGTTATTACTATACTCTTGTGGGAGGTCATCTCGAGTATTTTTCGATGATATAAATCGTTCATATTGTAGGATTTGTTAATAATATTATTCTTGTAAAAAATTAAATTAATCAGATATTCATAACCCTGTGATTGAATCCTAATTATTTTTACAAATTTATGAAAGTTATGTTAACCATTAATTTTTATAAAAATAAATGTGCTTTGGTTATAGGGTTACAAATATCCAATTAATTCGATTTTTTGTGTGAACGATCTACTCGACGAACCTTATAATATGAACGGTTTAGATTATCGAAAAACACTCGAAGCAACCTCTCACAAAGGACACAACAATAACTGCTGTGTGTATCCCCGAGTTCCTCTTTCCTTTGACGACTTCTTGCTGCTCTCCCCACTTGTCTATTTTTTTAGATTCAGCGGAAACCTCTTCTCACTTTCTTCGCCTCTTCGCTTCCTGGGTTTACTTTTTGACTTTTTGATTTTTTTAGCTATTTTAGTTTGGACTAAAAAGTTTGGTTGGGGAAGGACTTTTTAGCTTTTTTGACTTTTTTTATGAGAGAAGAATGTAATGATTATAGATTGAATGTGATAATTTGTTTTTTTGTGACTAAAATAGTCTATTTTATCTTTTATGACTAAAATAACCAAAAAAATCCCGTTTAACTTTTGCCAAACGGATCTCTTTAATAATTGTTCCCTCGACACTTCCCCCTCGTCTCACTCGTCTCACTTGTGTACTTTATAGGATCTAATGATTTATTCCTAATTTTGCTCCCTCAAATTTATCACAATTATGTGAAATTAGTGAGGGTAAAAATGACAAAGAGTGAGTATAGATGAGTTATGTTAATATAGATGGAATTGAGGGAGGTAAAATTAACAGATGTAGCACTAA